TTAGCACCCAGGACTCCATAGCAGTTGGCTATGTCAGTTAAAGTGGTGTCAAACTGCATTAAATCTACAGTGTAGATGTACCCACCTCCTGTTAAAAGGTAAAGGTAGTCCCCTGACATTAAGTCCAGTCATGTCTGACTCTGGGGTGTGGTGCTCATCTCCATTTCTTAGCCGAAGAGCCAGCGTTGTCCGTAGACACCTCCAAGGTCATGTGGCCAGCATGACTGCATGGAGCGCACCCACCTCCTGTTAGAGGACTGCAAAATTCCTAGAGAGAAAACTAGAATCCTACTGACTCACTCTTCTGGTCCGTGGCATTAAATAGTGATGGTACTTTATGGAGTTGCATGAACCAAGAGGACAGGTCCTTGTACCAAGGCATTTGCAACCATACAGCCCCCAGTGGCACAGTGGGTTAAACCCCTGTGCTGGCAGGACTGAAGACTGCTTCTTGGCAGGGGGTTGGACTGGATGGCCCATGAGGTCTCTTCCAACTCTTTGATTCTATGATTCTATGACTGACAGGTTGCAGGTTCAAATCGGGGAGAGGCGGATGAGCTCCCTTTATCAGTTCCAGCTCCTCATGCAGGGACATGAGAGAAGCCTCCCACAAGGATGATAAAAACATCAAATCATCTGGGCAATGTCCCCTGGGCAACGTCCTTGCAGACGGCCAATTCTTTCACACCAGAAGCAACTTGCAGTCAGTCGCTCCTGACATGACAAAAAAAATTTTGCAACCATCTTTGGTTTTGATCATATGGGTGGAAATCGGAGCAGTTTTGCAGAGCTGGTTTGGAGTTTTGTTGATGTTTCCTACTCTTTGTAAAGACGTATTTCTACGAATCCACTGGCCATTATTTTCCATAAAGGGAGCGACACTGGCACCTGGTGGTGGTTGAATCGAAAAGTCACTTCTGTCTGTAAAAAGAGGAAAAGGTCTGAATGCACTAAAAGCACACTAGATGCTCTCTGGTCATGGATGCTAATTAGGTTCAGCCCTGGTTAGCGCTTGGATGGGTGACTACCAATGAATACTGGGTGTTGTAGGCTTTATTGCAGAGGAAAGAACCTGCAAAACCACTCCTGAGCATTCCTTGCCCAAGAAAACCTTATGAAAATTATGGGGTTGCCATAAGTCAGCAAGCAACTTGAAGGCACCTCTATACACTCAAAACTAAACAAAGTGTTAATGGTATTATGCCAAGGCTAATACAGTAGGCCCTCTGTATAATTGGGGTTTGGTTCTAGGACCCCCAAATCCTTACTTACTTAGGTGATCCCTCGTTGTCAGTGTAGGATTATCTTCCAAAATGGGTGTATTAGCAGTGGGTCCGAAGGTGACTATGGAGACCTATTCTTGATCTGCATCGTCTCCCGCAGTGAGGGCATTGGTTTCCAGGAGGAAGGCAGTCTCGGTCGGGGTTAGCTTGACACGCCTTCCTCTTGGCACATTTCTCTCTTTCACCCTCCATTCGTGCCTCTTCAAATTCTGCAGCACTGCTGGTCACAGCTGACCTCCAGCTGGAGCGCTCAAGGGCCAGGGTTCCCCAGTTCTCAGTGTCTATTCCAGAGTTTTTAAGGTTGGCTTTGAGCCCATCTTTCAATCTCTTTTCCTGTCCACCACTATTCCGTTTTCCATTCTTGAGTTCAGAGTAGAGCAACTGCTTTGGGAGATGGTGGTCGGTCATCTGGACAACGTGGCTGGTCCAGCAGAGTTGATGGCGGAGGACCATCGCTTCAATGCTGGTGGTCTTTGCTTCTTCCAACACACTGACATTTGTCTGCTTGCCTTCCCAAGAGATTTGCAGGATTTTCCGAAGGCAGCGCTGATGGAATCGTTCCAAGAGTTGCATGTGACGTCTGTAGACAGTCCACGTTTTGCAGGCATATAGCAGGGTTGGGAAGGCAATAGCTTTATAGACAAGCACCTTGGTCTCCCAATGGATGTCCCGGTCCTCAAACACTCTCTGCTTCATTTGAAAGAGCACTTTGGTTTTCTCGATGTTCAATGACAGGCTGAGCTTCTCGTATGCTTCTGCGAAGGTGTTTAGAGGTCTTCTTCTGAATGCGCACAGACGACGTTGTCATCAGCATACTGGTGTTCTATGACAGATGTTGTTGTAACCTTGGTTTTGGCTTTCAGTTTGCTGAGGTTAAATAGCTTGCCATCTGTCCGATAGATGATTTCCCCTCCGGTGGGAAGCTTCCTGTCAACAAGATGAAGTGTCAGAAGACACTCTCCCAGAATCCCAGAACGGCTTCCGGCCCTCCAGAGGAACAATGGACATGATTTTCACAGCACAACAGCTCCAAGAAAAATGCAGGGAACAAAATCAGCCACTGTACATGGCATTCATTGACCTTGCAAAGGCATTTGACACAGTGAATCGCAGTGTTCACTGGACGATCCCCCCAAAAATCAGGTGCCCTAACAAATTTGTGAACATCCTGCGACTCCTCCATGATGACATGATGGCAACAGTCTTGGACAGCAATGGCTCCCAAAGTGACCCATTTAAGGTGGAATCGGGTGTCAAACAGATATGTGTTATTGCCCAACCTTATTTTCCATCTTCATTGTAATGATGCTCCTAATGTACCCAAAAATGGGTCAGATTGAAGTCCAGTACTTGGTTTTTGGCACTGTGGTTCAAAGAAGAGAGTGACAATATGGAAAGGATTCGGCAAAGCTATTTATTAAAGCTATTTAGGCAATGTTTTGATGTGCCTAATCATTGCTGCTGTTAACTCGCTGCAAAAAGTAGTGATGTGTATTATATATATAGGCATTTTGATTTTTATTAGAACTGGAAAATACCGTTCTCTAGTGGTCAATCCAGATATTGCACCTTGAAAGTACTTTGTACTTTACCTCCAGATAGCTATCTATAGGTCTGCCTGTATTGTAGAATTAATGCAGTTTGATCCTACTTTGAGTGCACTGATTTGATTCTATTGACTCCTGGGAATCACGGTTTTACAAGGTCTTTAACCTGCTGTGCCCAAGCAGGCTGGTGCTTCACCAAACTACATTCAGACAGGGAGTAGGGAAAAGGCAGAATTACTTAATGCCTTCTTTGCCTTGGTCTTCTCACAAAAAGAAGGTAATCTTCAACCTCAGCAAGATGGAGTGGATGAGGGATTAGAGGACATCCAACCCCAAATTGGGAAACAAGTTGTCCAGGAATACCTGGCCGCTCTAAATGAGTTCAAGTCCCCAGGGCCAGATCAACTACACCCAAGAGTACTGAAGGAACTAGCGAAAGTCATTTCGGAACCATTGGCAACCATCTTTGAGAGTTCTTGGAGAACGGGAGAAGTTCCAGCAGACTGGAGGAGGGCCAATGTGGTCCCAATCTTCAAGAAGGGAAAAAAGGATGACCCAAACAACTACCGTCCGGTCAGCCTCACGTGGATACCAGGCAAGATTCTGGAAAAGATTGTTAAGGAAATGGTCTGTAAACACTTAGAAACCAATGCGGTCATCGCTAATAGTCAACATGGATTTATCAAAAACAAGTCATGCCAGACTAATCTGATCTCTTTTTTCGATAGAGCTACAAGCTGGATAGATGCGGGAATGCCATGGATGTAGCGTACCTGGATTTCAGTAAGGCCTTCGACAAGGTCCCCCATGACCTTCTGGCAAGGAAACTAGTCCAATGTGGGCTAGGCAAAACTACGGTGAGGTGGATCTGGAATTGGTTAAATGGACGAACACAGAGGGTGCTCACCAATGCTTCCTCTTCATCTTGGAAAGAAGTGACGAGTGGAGTGCCTCAGGGTCCCGTCCTGGGCCCTATGATTCTATGATTCTATGATTCATGGCAGTTGGAGTTGTGTCTGATTGCATCAGTTCTATAGTGTAGATGCACTATAATTCTACAAGTGTAAAGGCATTTGAAGTGCAAGTGCATCAGGAAACTTTCAGATTGGTTGACGATCTGAAAACAGGCGTACGTTAGACGCTTTCATTTAATCAGTCTTCATAAAAGAACATCTCAGAGCTCCATGACAGGTCAGAAGTTCGAATCTGGGGAGAGTGCAGATGAGCTCCCTCTGTCAGCTCCAGCTCCCCATGCGAGGACATGAGAGAAGCCTCCTACAAGGACGGTAAACCATCAAAAAATCCTGGCGCCCCCTGTGCAATGTCCTTGCAGACAGCCAATTCTCTCACACCAGAAGCAACTTGCAGTTTCTCAAGTCTCTCCTGGCACAAAAAAAAATTAAATCTCAGAACTTGTAAATTTACTTTGTAAAATGAATTCCTTACTCAGATTCACCATAATGGCACAATCTCTTGCCCCTTTTCTCTTGCAATATTTGTGAATTCACTTGTTCCAGGGGATCTTTCTATTAGCCCCCGGTGGCGCAATGTGTTAAACCCCTGTGCTGGCAGGACTGAAGTCCGACAGGTCGCAGGTTTGAATCCTAGGAGAGGCGGATGAGCTCCCTCTATCAGCTCCAGCTCCTCATGCGAGGACATAAGAGAAGCCTCCCACAATGATGATAAAATATGAAATCATCCAGGCATCCCCTGGGCAACGTCCTTGCAGATGACCAATTCTCTCACACCAGAAGCGACTTGCAGTTTCTCAAGTCACTCCTGACATGACAAAAAAAATCTTTCTATTTCACTCTCATGTTTCCAAAACTTTAAATCAACAAGGTGAGTTTGATAATGTTGTAAGCTGTAAGTTTTCTTGGCAAGTTTTGTCAGAGGGGGTTTGCTTTTGCCTTCCTTTGAGGCTGAGAGAGTATGACTTGCCCAAAGGCCTTTCCCGCCATCACTAGCACAGCGTTCATTAGACAATATCTGCAAGGACGAGAGGGGGAAATTTAGAGCCTTCTAGGCTATATGGACCAGAGCACATCCTTCGATACGCCTGTTTTGTTGATATGTTTACAATGTACAACAGTTTCCTCTGCTTGCTGGTCTTCCCCCTTCTTCTTCATCTTCTCTTCCTCCTCCTAACAGCATTCTCCCCTCTCCCCAGGTTGGTGGAGGAGTTTATGCTCCTGGCAAACATGGCTGTTGCACACCAGATCTACCGGTCCTTCCCGAAGAAGGCTTTGCTCCGGAGGCATCCCCCGCCCCAGACCAAAATGCTCAATGACCTCATGGAGTTTTGCACCCAGATGGGCCTGGAGATTGACTGCAGCAATGCCGGCACCTTGCATGTAAGTGCACATGTCTGTTTAGGGGGTGGAGGGGATGGATGTGAGGAGAACAAAGCAACTGGACAAAGAGGACTCCTGTCACAGCCAGCAAGCAGTCAAGTTTTCAGACCCCAATAAGTAGCTAGACTAGAGATAGGATTCGGTTGAGGGATTCCTCCCTCCACATTCCTATACATGTTTTCCCCCCAGAAAGGGCTTCGTCTTTACTCTTCCTCCTTGCCACAGTCTCCTTCCCCTTTGATGATGCAGCAATGGAATTCCTTTTAAAAGGTATTTTAATGCCCTGGGGTTGACCATGCGGTCTCCACCATTGTTCTCTTCTGCTTTCCTTCCTCCCAGTAAGGACGCATTTTGCCTCATTCAAGGCAAAATGTAGCTGCATGGACCCTTTTTGACTTTTTACCTTTTACCTTTCTTAGAAGATGAGATTTAGTAAGCTAGTTATCTCCAAGACCTTTTCTTGCAAGAATGTATTTCTTTTACTTCATTAAATACTTTTAAAATTCTGCCTTTGCAATCCTATGCCATTCTATGGAGTAAAAGCTTACCCTAGCTCACTGCATGTGAGTTGCTGCTGGTTATGAAGTTTACTTCTGGTACTCTGCTATATTTATGGTGGAATCACCCTAACACCCAATCTGCCTCCCTGAGGACCTCATACCACATCTTATCCCCCCCCCCCCCACACACACACACAAAGACCTGGGCTGCATTCCTGTGCTTAAACAGTATCCAGAGCTCTCCTTAATTGTGGGGATCTGGGATTCCCTGGGACAGCATAAAGAATGTTATGGTGAGAGAATCGGGAGGTGGGTGGTTGAGGGAGGTGATAACTAGACCCATATAGGTCCTTCTTCACTTTTGAAATTGTGCAATATAATAACTTTAATTTGGCCAGCACCTTAAGCACTCTGACTCAGACACTGCCTCAACCCTGTTGACTTGTAAATGTCTTTTTACATTTAATGTTTTAACTGTTTGTTACTATTAGATCTATTAGTAAACATATCCTAAATGTTTGATTTATATATTTAAATTTCTAATTTTGTTATTTTTGAGTTGTTCTACAAATACACCCGATGTTGTTTGTGTTATTATGATTTGATCTGTTGCTATGTTATGCCAGCATTGAATGTTTGCCCATTTTCTGTTTTGAACCGCCTTGAGTCCCCTCGGGGAGATAGGGTGGTACAGAAATAAAGATTGTTGTTGTTGTTGTTGTTTTGAGCATAGCAGCTCAGATTCCCCAACAAAGGGTTATGGGCCCAGTCCTGTGTGAGCTGAGCAAAAGAGAAAATAGCTTTAAAGGATAGTGTTGTGACTCAGCTGGAATCACAGAGTGATAGTGTCAATGATTCTGATGAGGATAATGGGATTCAAGTTCACAGTCAGGTGCAAAGCGATGTCCCCGAGATAGACGAGGAAGAACAGGGTGCAGAAGTTCAGTTGTTTCCCACAGCAAGGGATGACGCTGTTGATAATGAAACTACTGAGAGCCAGGTGCATTCTGATTCAGGAAGGGAGGACAGTTGTTCTCAGCCAGATAATGAGCAAGAAAGCACTAACGCACAGATTGACCTTGATGAGGCCGGAGCTTTAGATCGAGCTGATCGCTTGGAATTTAAGGTTTGAAGGAGTGTGAGAATCACGAGCAAGCGAGAGAGGGAGGCCAAGGGCCAGAGGAACGCCTTCATGTTTTCCAAAGGGTATTAAACAGGCTGTTTGAAAATATCCCAGTGTCAGAGCAATTTCTTGCTTAGGATTTACCTTGCAGTTTTCATGTTCATGGTTTCAGGACTTTGTCATGTTCTCATGGGACTTTACCTTCCTTGTGTCTTTGTGGAGCCTGTTTTCCAGTGTTACCTTTGATCTTTGGACTATACTTTTGCCTTTTTTGAACTTTTTATCTTTTACTTTAATAAACCATAAAGACTATTGCTTGTGTGCTGATTGGTGTCTGAAACAAGGTGATTCTACTCTGAGGTGCGACAGATAGGTGAAAAGGAGCAGAGAAATTTATTTATTTACTTACTTTATTTGTATACCGCTCTTCTCAGCCCTTAGGCGACTCAGAGCGGTTTACAACAATTTAGGTATACACCATACAAAATCATTAAGCATTTAAAAGCAATAGCATCACAAATCATTAAACATCAATATCAATACATCACTACATCAATATAACAAATCCATCAGGTCTCATCAATGAAATCAGAATCCAAACTCGTTATCCGATATTCCGTGTTCCGATAGTCAGTCAATCAATAACAATGCTTAGTCGAATGCCTGTTCAAACAGCCAGGTTTTTACTTTCCTCCGGAATGCCAGCAAGGAGGGGTCGATCTAATATCTGCAGGAAGGGCGTTCCACAGCCGAGGGGCCACCACTGAGAAGGCTCTGTCTCTCGTCCCCGCCAGGCGTGCTTGTGAAGCCGGCGGGATCGAGAGCAGGGCCTCCCCAGACGATCTTAATGTCCTAACTGGTTCATAGGAGGAGACGCGTTCAGACAGGTCGGGCCAGAATCGTTTAGGGCTTTAAAGGCTAAAGCCAGCACTTTGAATTGTGCCCGGTAGCAAATTGGCAGCCAGTGGAGCTGGCGCAGCAGTGGAGAAAGGTTTCTCAAAGAGATTTTGAGTTTTGTTTTTGGATATATATTTTGGACTTTGGTATTCCCCAACATAGGGCTTGACTTCCAAACCTTTCATCACTTTGGTTGCCTTCACTGGACACCTTCCATCTTGTCAATATCCTTCTTGAATTGTGATGTCCAAAACTGGATGTAGTCTTATTCCAGGTGAGCCTAGAATTGGATTGGCTTTTTAAAACTGCCACATCACACTATTGACTCATGTTCAGCATGTGGCCTATTAAGACCTCCTTATCATCATCTGTCTTGATGCTTAAAGGGATGGCTTCTGCCAGAAAGTCTTGCAAAGGGTACACAAGCAAAAGATTTCCCCTCCCTTCATCCCTCCCAGACGCACATCTCATCTTTGGCTTCCCTGTTTATGGGCATTAAAGTACCAAGATATTTTACTAATGCTGAACTATTGTCATCTCATCACTGTCAATAGAATAGAATAGAAAATCAATAGAAACCCACCTAGTGCATTTGTTGGAGAAACTTCCTTATTGACATTTTTCTGGATCATCTGTGTGTATCTTTTTCTCTTTCCATTAGAAAAGCCTGAACGAAATCTTTGGCGCTGACAAATATGCAGAAGCCAGGAAAGAGGTGCTAACCAACATGTTCTCACGCCCTATGCAAGTAAGTACAGACATTGACTAGTCCTACCATGAATTTGGGTTATAAGCAGAACCAGAGCATCTAAGATTCTGACTTTCAACTCCCACTGCTAGCGCAGGCATGGGCCAACTTTGGCCCTCCAGGTGTTTTGGACTTCAACTCCCACAATTCCTGACAGCCTGTAGGCTGTCAGGAATTGTGGGAGTTGAAGTCCAAAACACCTGGAGGGCCAAAGTTGGCCCATGCCTGTGCCAGAGCATACTTTCCAGTGACTTTGCTTCCCCAAGCTGATCATTTCTCTCTGCATGGGATTAGGCTCTAAAAACTTCCCCTTTGTGCTTGGACAGCAGCCAATTGTTTACCTGTTGGTGTTGGTTCCCTCATTGCTGGATGCTTCCCACATCTTTAGGACTTCTATTTCATGTCTGGCGGCTGCCAGCAGCATCGGTGGAGCCAGAGCTTGAGAGTTTTGCATTCCACAGTAACACATTTACATTAATGAAAACAGCTGACCACTGTTGCTTTTCCCGTTGCGTATTACTGACATTTGAGAAAAGGAAAATGCTGCATTACTGTTACCTGCGGTTTCATTTACAAATTCAAAATTTGGTCCCCCATAAGCATTTCCTAGCTCCTCCAGTGTGAATGTATGGTATGCTTGTGCTAGAAGTTGTCGGGTTTCATGCCTGGACCGCACAAGTTTCTTGTGTCATCAAGTTTCCAGACTTCATTGGGTAACTAGACTAGAGACAGGGCCAGATTCCTCCCCTCATATACCTATGCATGTTTTTTTTCCACAAAAGAGCTTTGTCTTCTCTCTTCCTGCCAGACACTGTCTCCTTCCCATTTGATGATGTAGCAATGGAATTATGTGAGGGAACTTCCTCTTTAGGTTTTGGGTTGTAGGTTTTTCAGGCTGTATGGCCATGTTCTAGAACCATTCTCTCCTGACGTTTTGCCTGCATCTATGGTAGGCATCCTCAGAGGTTGTGAGATCCTAAAACCTAAAACCTCTTTAGATTTTATTGCCCTGGGCTGGCCATTTTTTCCAGTCTCTTCTGTCTTTTCTTCCTTCCATTAAGGATGCATTTTGCCTCTCTCTAGGCAAAATGTGTGGCATAATGTAAAATAAACCATGTGTAGTTCACATTTGATCAGCCCACACACTGCCTTGCCAGAGAAAGAAAATATGCCACACAGATTAACAGTAAAGAACAAGTAGTTTACTCTTCATGGTTCAGAACAACATATGTACAATGTGATCAGTTGCACCAACTCACATAATGTCCTTTTATGAGAGATTTAAAATGGCCTTTCTCTGTCCATGTGGATAAATTCCTTCAGCAGCTCATGAAGCGAGAGCACACTCCAAACTCTCTCTGCTTCTCTCTTCAAAACTGTCTCTCTCTCTAAGCACCTGCATAGCTCAAGTCTGAACAAAATGTAACAGTATCCAAAAGTCCCAGGCTCAGCTATCTCCCCAGGCATAGCCCAACCAATCAGCTTCACAATTAACTGATTCTTTGCAAAATGTAGCTGCATTGATCTTTTTACCTTTTACCTTTCTTAGAAGATGTGATTTAGTAAGCTAGTTATCTCCAATACCTTTTCTATCTAGAATGTATTTCTTTTACTTCAGTAAATATTTTTGAATCTTAAAGTTCTGGCTCTGCCATCCTGATCCATCCTAAGGTATAGAAGGCTAACTTTGTTCGCCACACATAAGTTTATATGCTGGTTATGAAGTTTATTTCTGATACTCTGCTATATTTTATTTATTTACCATATGTATATACCGCCCCTCTCTGCCCAGGGGCCACTCCGAGCAGTTCACAACTAGGCAACAATTCGATGCCTCAACAATTATAACAAGTAAAACAATCCTAAAATTCTCATAAAAACAATAGCATACAGTATAAAAATATTAAAACCGTACAAAGCCTTAAAACATTATCATAAGCATCTCCATGTCAAGTCATTATTCCTTTGTATTATCAAGTCATTTCATGATCCTGTAAAACTATGCCGAATTTGGGAAGGCCTGCTTAAAAAGCCAGGTTTTCACCTTTTTTCGAAAAGTCAGGAGAGTAGGGAGCCGATCTTATATCTCTAGGCAAGGCGTTTCACAGACGAAGGGCCACCGCTGAGAAGACCACATCTATCAGTACTATAGTTTTACTGGTGTGGAATACAGCTTATAGTTGTAAACTCTGGGTGTCCGGTGTAGGATGTAATGCTATGTAATGCCATGCAAGGGTAGCCCCTACTCTACTCTACCCTAGAAACCTTTAAAAAGAACCTTAAACCTGGCTTTGAAACAGAGGCTGGATGGCCATCTGTTGGGGGTGCTTTAAATGTGATTTTCCTGCTTCTTGGCAGAATGGGGTTGGACTGCATGGCCCATGAGGTCTCTTCCAACTCAAGGATTCTATGATTCTATGATCTGGAAGCTTCTGGTTCAAATCTAAACCATTGGCATGCAAGGTCATAAATGCATTGTTAATCCTTTGGACAGCTCTCCAGGCAAGACACAATGTAAATGCCCACATTACCAAAAGGGCAGCAGAGAGAAGTCCGTTCCCTTAGCCAGCCCAACTGCAAAGCTGACCTACCTTAGAGAAGGGTTGTAAGAATAAATGACCCAATAAATAAGTCATCTGAACAATGGAACTGTATCAGTGAAATGCTTTATTGGTGTTACATAAATGAAAGATCAACGACAGCTTCCTATTTGCAGTATTCCTGTTAAAATCTGCTTCTCCTATGTTACCGAGGGAGGAGAATGTGTGTCTTTTGGAGTCAAGCTTGTCAGGCAATGGGGGAAGTAGGGCGAGCACAAACACTGGGGGCCAGACAGGAAGGGATGATGGATGGGGCAGTGGGAGAAGGTCAACTCTTTCAACAGATGGGCTTGCAATGTCACCGAAGGGTTGCTGTGGTCCTGAGAGTGGGAGCTATGTGTTTTAGCCTGGGCGCCCCCAAATCCACCCCAAAGCCGTCCAAGGTCCCCGTGACCTCCTTGCGGAGCATAGTTCCTCTTTGGCGAGACTTTGCTACACCCACGTACACTCCTCCACACTCCCTGGGAAAACGGAGCCATTTCTCCCTCTCCTGCCGCAATCATTCAAAGAGATTAAGCGCTCTGGGCTCGCCTCCCAGCGTAGTTGATCTCGAGATCAGCCCTGCCATAAATCAGAGGCAGCTCGGCGGCTGATGGTCCTCCTCTCAGAAGGAGCGCTCCAGGACAACTGCCTTTGCCTTTGCTAAGCTTCGTTCAGAGCCTTGGAGTGCAGATAGAATGAATGCAGTCTGACACCACTTTAACAGCCATGGCTCACAGGAAATGTAGTTTTACAAGGCCTTTATCCTTCTCTGCCAAACAGCAGAAGGAAATGGCTAGAGAGGACAACTCCGGAATGACTCTATGGACAACTTCTGTTGGGGAATCTGAGCTGTCAGGTTCAAAATAACCCTCAGTTGGGGTGATTCCACCATAAATAGTTTCGGTCCAACTTACCTATCTGAACATATCTCTCCTTATGAACCATCTAGGACCTTAAGATCTTCTGGGGAGACCCTGCTCTCGGTCCCACCTTCCTCACAGATGCGTCTGGTGGGGAGGAGAGAGCAGTGTTAGAGCAGTGGTTCTCAAAATGTGGGTCCCTGAGTGTTTTGGCCTACAACTCCCAGAAATCCCAGCCAGTTCACCAGCTCTTAGGATTTCTGGAAGTTGAAGGCCAAAACATCTGGGGACTCACAGGTTGAGAACCACTGTATACTAGAGACACCTCCACTGCCTTCCTTATTACTCCATACTCCCCTCTTTAGTATGTCCATACTTGATTTTAGTGAAATTGCTAATTCCGTATTTGAGATTTTGGTCCATGCGATATTTCCCAAGCTCTGGGAAACCAAAGGGAGCCACATTTGGGTTTCAGATCCAGATTGGTCCTGTCTGGTTGCCCCTTTAGCCTTGTTTCCTCCACCTCTGCCCTATCCCTGATATGGACTTCTGTTGAGCTGTCCCTTTCTCTCCCAGATGGCTGTGTATTTCTGTGCCGGGACGCTGGAGGATGAGACCCTCTTCCGCCACTATGCCCTGAACGTGCCCCTCTACACCCACTTCACATCTCCCATCCGTCGCTTCCCAGACATCATGGTGCATCGGTTGCTCTCGGCCTCCTTGGGTAAGTTGCCTTAAGGGCACCACCAACAGATCAGAAACATCCCCTTGTGGTCATTTTGGCTGCACACCTTGCCATGCCAGGCAGATGTAAATGGCAGTGAAGTTCAGGTTCTGTACACTGACTGCTGACAGCCAGGTGGAACACTGGGAGGCTCATAAGCAGCTGTAGGAAGGCAATACGTAACAGGATGCAAAGCAGAACCAAGGTATTTAGCAACTAACAGAAGGAAGGAAGTGTGTGCTAAGATAAACTGACATCTCCTTTCTCTTAAGGGAACTCCTGCTGTCAGGGCAACCACACTGAGTTGATTAATGGGTTGGAATAAGTCAGGGGTAGATAACTGACTTGATGTGCAGATGTTAGCCATTCTGACGGGGGATAATGATGACGACAACTACCACTACTTGTATTGTGAAATAGTGAAAGGACCAATAGTGAAAGGACCAAGGCAGAGACATCTCCAGCTCATCCCTTTTTTGGGTATCGGCCAGCACGCCAATGACTTAAATCAAGAAATAGTTTTCTAAGATCTACAGAGACACTAACTGGAACACCTCAGCAAGCGAGAGTCCAAAAGTGGCAGGCTCAAACCCAGAGCCTCAATCAATGGCTGATACCAAATGAGAGACTCTCCCCTGGGCACACAGAAAACTGGGCAACTTGGAAGACGCTGAACAGACTGCACTCTGGCACCACGAGATGCAGAGCCAACCTCAAGAAATGGGGCTACGAAGTGGAATCCACAACATGTGAGTGTGGAGAAGAGCAAACCACAGACCACCTGCTGCAATGCACCCTGAGCCCTGCCACATGCACAAGGGAGGACCTTTTTGCAGCAACACCAGAGGCACTCCAAGTGGCCAGAGACTGGTCAAAGGACATTTAATCAACTACCAAGCTTGCAAACTCTGTTTTGTCTGTTTGTTAAAAATTTGTTAAAAATGTAATACAATTGTCTGGTTGATACTGACACGATAAATAAATAGTATTGTGGAACCAAAAACCAAAGCAGCTCACAACCTTAAAAGCTATATAGTTTTAAAACCTACAAAATATCAATATTGATATAGAACGAAATGTTACTGTCATAAAAAACAATTCAGTTAAAAAACACATGAAGTATAAAACAACAAAAATAATTGTCGAAGGCTTTCATGACCGGAATCACTGGGTTGTTGTAGGTTTTTCTGGGCTATATGGCCATGTTCTGGAGGCAATTTTTCTCCTGACGTTTCGCCTGCATCTATGGCAAGCATCCTCAAAGGTAGAAGCAGCTACCTCTGAGGATGCTTGCCATAGATGCAGGCGAAACGTCAGGAGAAAAATTGCCTCCAGAACATGGCCATATAGCCCGGAAAAACCTACAACAACCCAACAAAAATAATATTAATGTACATTATTATTATTATTATTATTATTATTATTATTATTATTATTATTAATTTCTGGTGGCACAGCGGGTTAAACTGCTGAGCTGCTGAACTTGCTAACCAAAAGGTTTGTGGTGAGAATCCAGGGAGTGGGGTGAGTTCTTGCTGTTAGGCCCAGCTTCTGCCAACCTAGCAGTTCGAAAACATGTAAAGGTGAGTAGATCAATAGGTACTGCTGAGATCTGATCCCATTGATTCCTATGGCAGGTCTCATCCCTGCCATACTCTCCTGACAGTTGTGACCTTTCCCCAAAACAGACTCCCCCAGGTGATGGAGGGGGTGGGCCAGAGACTGGTCATGGATCAGCCATGCAATATCCCTAAGTAGGTTTTACCACTGAAAGCAACAACAATACTATTAATGTACTGTATTAATAATAATAATAATAATAATAATAATAATAATAATAATAATTGGTGGCACAGCGGGTTAAACTGCTGATCTGCTGAACTTGCTGACCGAAAGGTTGGCAGTTAGAATCTGGGGAATGGGGTGAGTTCCTGATGTTAGGCCCAGCTTCTGCCAACCTAGCAGTTTGAAAACATGTAAATGTGGGTAGATCGATAGGTACTGCTGAGATCTGATCCCATTGATTCCTATGACAGGTCTCATCCCTGCCATACTCTCCTGACAGTTGTGACCTTTCCCCAAAACAGACTCTCCAAGGTGATGAAGGGGGTGTGCCAGAGATTTGGGGAGTGTGTGTTTGCATGAGAGTGTGCTTCCCTTTGCTTGTTCTAGCTATCCACTGTGCTTCCCTTTAAGGCTGTGGACCCACGACACGCTTGGGGGAGAATGACCTGCAGAAACAGGCTGAGCACTGTAACGATCGCAAAATGGCCTCCAAGAGAGTGCAGGAGCTCAGCGCCGACCTCTTCTTTGCCGTCTTTGTCAAGGTAGGGTTTAGCATCCATCATGTTTGGCACAGGCGTGGGATGTCTGCTGCCTTCCAGATTATTCTTTACTATTGGCTATGTTAAGATTTCCACTCCAGTAAAATCTGGAGTCAGCCCTGCTTCTTATGCCCTCCCTCTGTTATCTTCCAGGAGTGTGGCCCACTCGAGTCCGAAGCCATGGTGATGGGGGTCCTCAACGAAGCCTTTGACGTCCTGGTGCTGAGGTTTGGTGTCCAGAAGCGCATCTACTGCAACGTAAGCATCCCCTCCTCTCTGGCGCCCAGCCAGACTGCTAGCCACATCTGGTGCAGACCCATAGAGTTCATGTCATCTCCGCTTACAAGCCAGTACGAGCACTGCAGTCAGCGGAGGAGGAGGCCCTGCTCTCAGTCCCATCCCATCTCAACCGTGGTTGGTGGGAACAAGAGAGGGGTCCTTCTCCATGGCCGCTCCCTGCCTTTGAAACTCCCTTCCTTTTTTGTTGTTTATTCATTAAGTCACTTCTAACTCTTTATGACCTTAGATGGGCCAAAACTAACAAAATGAAGTTCAACGGGGACAAATGCAAGATACTCCACTTAGGCAGGAAAAGTGAAATGCAAAGATACAGAATGGGGGGGCAATGCCTGGGTCGAGAGCAGGACATGTGAAAAAGATCTTGGAATCCTCGTGGACAACAAATTAAACATGAGCCAACAATGTGATGTGGCGGCAAAAAAAGCCAATGGGATTTTGGCCTGCATCAATAGGAGCATAGTGTCTAGATCCAGGGAAGTCATGCTACCCCTCTATTCTGCTTTGGTTAGACCACACCTGGAATATTGTGTCCAATTCTGGGCACCACAATTCAAGAGAGATATTGACAAGCTGGAATGTGTCCAGAGGAGGCGACTAAAATGATCAAGGGTCTGGAGAACAAGCCCTATGAGGAGCGGCTTAAGGAGCTGGGCATGTTTAGCCTGAAGAAGAGAAGGCTGAGAGGGAATATGATAGCCATGTATAAATATGTGAGAGGAAGCCACAGGGAGGAGGGAGCAAGCTTGTTTTCTGCTTCCCTGGAGACTAGGACGCAATGGAACAATGGCTTCCAACTACAAGAGAGGAGATTCCATCTGAACATGAGGAAGAACTTCCTGACTGTGAGAGCCGTTCAGCAGTGGAACTCTCTGCCCCGGATTTTGGTGGAGGCTCCTTCTTTGGAGGCTTTTAAACAGAGGCTGGATGGCCATCTGTCGGGAGTGCTTTGAATGCAATTTTCCTGCTTCTTGGCAGGGAGTTGGACTGGATGGCCCATGAGGTCTCTTCCAACTCTTTGATTCTATGATTCTAGTCTCCAGAGCAGCAGAAAACAAGCCTGCTTCCTCCTCCCCATGTCTTCCCCTCACATCTTGATACATGGCTTTCATGTCTCCTCCCCGCCTTCTCTTCTGAAGGCTAAACATGCCCAGCTCTTTAAGCCGCTCCTCATAGGGTTTGTTCTCCAGACCCTTGATCATATTAGTCACTCTCCTCTGGACACACACCAGCAATCCAAGGTTAATGAGCTGTCCCCATTGCAGCCAGTGGAGGGCTGTGTGTATGTGTGTGTGTGTTCTGTCACATGTTCCTTTGACTCCTCCACCTTCCATCTGTTCAGATCCATCCAAAGGGAATAATTATCCACTCGTAGCAATATAATAAAACCAAGGGGATAATGGTGTGGCTAGCAATTGGGTGCCTGGAGATGAGGAAACGGAGCGGAATTGCTTTTGATTTCACCCTCCAAAATGGAGGTAAAGAGGCATCAAGGGTGGCTTTGCTTGGCATCAACAGCAGGTCATGCCTCCTGCCAATTGTAAGGCTGTGCAGGTTGGATACACGATGCTCCCACAACAGGGAAGGAACGGACTGCCGCCCAGCACTTGTACCTTACAAGCTTTTCACTTTGTCAAGAACAGTTTGTGTTTGTCCCTGGAGCTCTGGAAGAGCTACGGTGTGGGTTTTAGTCTATTGATTTTCATCTACGCTCGTATTGTGTAGGTGGAGATTGGGTACTCAAGCTGTCAGCCTGTTTCGCCAGAGCGAGTGACGAAATGTCAAGATGTCAAGGGTTTCGACTCTGCCTCTTCAAAGAGAGGGATTTCCCAGATCTCCCTCAGAATGAAATCAGGAAACAGTGGTGAAGGAGAATGGCGCAAGGGGCAGACCTGGCCCGTTCCAGACCCCCTTGACCCAGATTGTGTAGCTTCATACTTGCGCATGCATGCATACACAGAGGGGGAGTTTCAGAAAAGAGCTTGTTTTAACCTATCAATACCTGTGTTATAAATAAAGGAAATACAAGGATCTTGTAGGTCAGGGGTCCTCAAACCTTTTATTTATTTATTTGCTTTATTTCTATACCGCATTTTTCAGCCTGATAAGGCGACTCAATGCGGTTTACACAATGAAGATTATCACAACAATATCAATACTATCACAACAATATCCTAAACGATTAAAACACATCATATACAGCAAACAAAAGCAAACAATCATTAATAATTCATAACGCCTCAATAAGAAATCAGAAGCCATTCTCGTAATCCTTGTACCATTTCCTAAGTTCAATTTTACCGTCCTCCTATGTTCAGTTGCACTGTTTAGCCAAACGCTTGTTCATAGAGCCAGGTCTTAACCTTCTTCCGAAACGCCAGCAGCGAAGGGGCCTGTCTGATGTCTACAGGTAGGGCATTCCATAGCCGAGGGGCCACCACCGAGAAGGCCCTGTCCCTCGTTCCCGCCTTTTAAACAGAGGGCCAGGTCAAAGTCCCTCAAAACTGTTGGAGGGCCGGATTATAATTTGAAAAAAAGCTTGAATGAATTCCTATGCATACTGCACAGATCTTATTTGTAGTGCAAAAAAACACTTTAAAACAATACAATAATTGGATTGTTGTAGATTTTTTCAGGCTGTATGGCCATGGTCTAGAGGCATTCTCTCCTGACGTTTCGCCTGCATCTATGGCAAACATCTTCAGAGGTAGTGAGGTCTGTTGGAACTAGCAAAAAGGGTTTATATATCAATATACATTCAGCAAAGGACAAGAGGGATCCTCTCGCTTCTGCAGGAGTCTATCGTGTACCATGCAGCTGTGGACAAGTCTACAGAGGGACCACCAAACGCAGCAGCATTGCCCAAACACGAATCCAGGAACATGGAAGGCACTGCAGCCTACTTCAACCAGAGAAGTCAGCCATAGCAGAGCACCTGATGAACCAGCCTGGACACAGCATTTTATTTGAGAACACAGAAATGCTGGACCACTCTCACAACCACCATGTCAGGTTACACAGAGAAGCCATTGACATCCACAAGCATGTGGACAATTTCAACAGAAAGGAGGAAACCATGAAAATGAACAAAATCTGGCTACCAGTATTAAAAAAAAAACTCTAAAATTACAACAGCACAATAACAGAGAGGAAACAAACAAGGACATCTAATTACCTCTCAACAAAAGTTTGTTCCAGGCACTGTCAGCCCATTATATGCTAATCAAGGTGGTCAGTTGAAACATTCACACCTAGCTCCAGCAGACAAAAGTCCTTTGTCTCACCTTAGTCATTCCACAGATATATAAACCCTTTTTCCTAGTTCCATCAGACCTCACTACCTCTGAGGATGTTTGCCATAGATGCAGGCAAAACGTCAGGAGAGAATGACTCTAGACCATGGCCATACAGCCCGAAAAAACTTACAACAACCCACATTTTCTGATGTTGTTGTTGATTTTATTTTGTTCATTTTACTTAATTGTGTGTGTTTTAATCTTTTCGGAATTGTCCCCTTGTAAGCCACCCTGAGTCCCTTTGGGGAGATGGTGGCAGGGTATAAAAATAAAGTTCTTGCAATACAATATTATTATTATTATTATCTCTAGGATTGGTTCTGGCCCAGTTTACCTGTCCAAACGTAGATGTGTTGCAGTAGCAGATTCCCAGATTAGTTTAGTATTTATACCTTAATTTATTTTTCTGGTCATTTAATATTTAATGTTTATTTCACTTAAGTGATATTTGTCTTTACTGTTCTAATGTAGCACAAATCCTATGTAAAATCATACTACATATTTTTGACATTAATATTGAACAACAAAGGAGATTCCATCTGAACACGAGGAAGAACTTCCTGACTGTGAGAGCCGTTCAGCAGTGGAACTCTCTGCCCCGGAGTGTGGTGAAGGCTCCTTCTTTGGAAGCTTTTAAACAGAGGCTGGATGGCCATTTGTCAGGGGTGCTTTGAATACAATATTCCTGCTCCTTGGCAGAATGGGGTTGGACTGGATGGCTCATGAGGTCTCTTCCAACTCTATGATTCTATGAAGTCTCAAATATATACACAAAGTCTTTACCCTCTGTGAACCACCAAGGACCTTAAGATCGTCTGGGGAGACTCTCCTCTCGGTCCCACCACCATCACAGTTGCGTTTGGTGGGGCCGAGAGACAGGGCCTTCTCTGTGGTGGCCCCTCAGCTATGGAACTCCCTCCCTGCTGAGATCAGATCCGCCCCCTCACTCCTGAACTTCCGGAAGAAACTCAAATCTTGGATGTGGGATCAAGTGTTAGCAGAATAGACTGACTTGCTGGGAAAGACAATGCTTTTAATGTATGACAATGGACTGTTTAGGATGATGATTTGAACCAGCAAATTGTTTTAATGTATATTTATAATTGTTTTACTTGTGCTAACTGTATCTTATGCTATGTTTTATTCTGTGTTGGCACTGAATGGTGCCGGTTGGTAGCCGGCCTGAGTCCCTCTTCGGAGGTAGAGAAGGAAGGGATACGAATGCCCCAAATAATAAATAAATAAATCATAGAATTTTAGGGTTTGAAGTGACCCCAGTAGCCATGCATGGCTACGCAATCTGCCCAGCCTCTGGTTAAAAACCTCCAGAAAAGGACACTCCACTGGACCCACAAGCAGCAACGTATTCCACTGCTGAACAGCTCATTCTGTTAGGAGGTTCTTTCTAATGTTTAGGAGAAACTCTTTTCCAGCAGCTTGAATCCATTGCTTTGTTGTTTCCTAATAGAATCATAGAATCAAAGAGTTGGAAGAGACCTCATGGGCCATCCAGTCCAACCCCATTCTGCCAAGGAGCAGGAATATTGTATTCAAAGCACCCCTGACAGATGGTCATCCAGCCTCTGTCTAAAAGCTTCCAAAGAAGGAGTGTCCACCACACTCTGGGGCAGAGAGTTCCACTGCTGAACGGCTCTCACACTCAGGAAGTTCTTCCTCATGTTCAGATGGAATCTCCGTTCTTGTAGTTTGAAACCATTGCTCCATTGTGTCCTAGTCTCCAGGGAAGCAGAAAACAAGCTTGCTCCCTCCTCTCTGTGGCTTCCTCTCACATATTTATACATGGCTATCATGTCTCCTCTCAACCTTCTCTTCTTCAGGCTAAACGTGCCCAGCTCCTTAAGCTGCTCCTCATAGGGCTTGTTCTCCAGACTCTTGATCATTTTAGTCACCCTCCTCTGGACACATTCCAGAGCAGCAGAAAACAACCTGGTTCCATCTTATATATACCCAATATATTGCAAACGTTGCTCTGAATACTACAGGTTGGTGCAAACAATATGGGAGACTGCTGATGTCATTTACTTTTGAAGGCCTTCTGTTTCGCCAGCGTGAAGGTCAGGAAGGTGCATTCAATGGGGCAAGTTTGGTCTGATGTGGTTCCAGGCCGTTCTTAAGAACATTAACACAGTATTGCTTCCCCATAATGAGTGAATCAGGCCCCCTTTTAAGAAAAGGATTGGGGCTGTTTTCTTAGAATTATAGAATTGGAAGAGACCACACGGGGCATTCAGTCCAACCTTCTGCAAGGCAGGAAGACACAGTCAAAGCACCCTGAGTAACTGGGACTCTCTTTTCTCCTCCCACACAGACACCCAGAAATGCTGGTATTGGTACCAAATGTATCTCCATGGGCTCCAACAATTTGTTCCTTTCCTAGAAATCCACTGCAAAGCAGGTCTCCTCCACACGCCACCATTTAGATCAGGGCTGTCAAACCTATTTTCATTGAGGAGATGTCAGAGGGGTCACCAGACCATCAGAAGACACAATATTTTCTGTTGGTCATGAGGGTTCCATGTGGGAAGTTTGGCCCAATTCTATCATTGTTGGAGTTCAGAATGCTCTTTGATTGTAGGTGAACTGTAAATCCCAGCAACTACAACTCCCAAATGTCAAGATCTGTTTCCCCACAAACTCCCCCAGTGTTCACATTTGCGCACATTGAGTATCCGTGCCAAGTTTGGTCCAGATCCATCATTGCTTGAGTCCACAGTGCTCTCTGGATGTAGGTGAACTACAACTCCAAAACTCAAGGTCAATGCTCACCAAACCCTTACAGTATTTTCTCTTGGTCATGGGAGTTTTGTGTGCCAAGTTTGGCTCAATTCCCTCATTGGTGGAGGTCAGAATGCTCTTTGATTGTAGGTGAACTATAAATCCAGGAACTACAACTCCCAAATGACAAAATCATTTATCCCCTCCCCAACCACACCATTATTCAAATTTGGGCATATCGCGTATTTGTATCAAATACATCCTGCATATCAGATATTTATATGATGATTCATAACAGTAGCAAAATTACAGTTGTGAAGTAGCAACTTGAGGGTCACCACAACATGAAGAACTGTATCAAGGGGTCGCGGCATTAGGAAGGTTGAGAAACACTGGCTTAGAGCCATTCCTCATCCAGCTCTGACGTTCCTTCTCTGCGTCCGCCTGCCAGGCTCGCTCTTCAGCTCACAGTCTCTTCTTCCTTTTGCAGGCTTTGCCACTGGTGGGGTTCCAGTTCCAGAAGTTGGGCAAGAAGCCTCAGCTGACGCTGATGTGGGAACCGGAGAGCCCTGAGGAGGAGTCTGTGCAACAGGTAATTCCACATCATCCTCTCCCTAAGTAAAGCTGGAGGGTTTTTGTTGGACCCATAGAGCAGATTTATACTGAGCCAGTCCCAGTACAGAGTTATATTTTCACAGTCCTGCAGGCAGCCTGTCTCTAGGCCAGGCATGGGCATACATTGGGAAGTCTGATCTGGCCACAGTGGTCCACGCTCTTGTTACATCCCAAATAGATTACTGCAATGCACTCTATGTGGGGTTGCCTTTGAAGACTGTTCGTAAACTTCAGCTAGTCCAACGGGCAGCAGCTAGATTACTCACCAGAGTGTCATGCAGGGAGCATACCACCCCTCTGCTATGTCAGCTCCACTGGCTGCCGGTCCAGTTCCGAGCACAATTCAAAGTGCTGGTCTTGACCTATACAACCCTATACTGCTCCGGCCCAGGGTACCTGTCCGAATGTATCTCCTTCTAGGTCCCGCCTAGGAATTTAAGATCTTCTGGAGAGGCCATGCTCTTGGACCTGCCCTTGTCACAAATGAGACTGGGGAGGACGAGGGACAGGGCTTTCTCAGTGTTGGCCACCCGCCTGTGGAATTCACTCCCCAGGGAAATTAGATCATCGTCATCCCTCCTCTCTTTTAGAAGGAAATTAAAAACATGGATATGGGACCAGGCTTTTGGGTAATCTGGCAGACTGACAAGGACAATGACAACAAGAGCTTTGGAATGGATTATGATAAGCTGAATGGATTTATTAATTACAGAACTCGGCGAAACGATGGCCACCAGGCTGGCTTCTTTTCTAGTATATTTTATTGTATTAACTCAATGTTTTAATTATTTATAATTGCTGTTTGTTGTGGGGGTTGAGAAGAGTGGGGTAAAAATACCCGAAATAAATAAAATAAATACTCTGGTCTTCCAAATTTTTTGGACTTCAACTCCCAGAATCCCAGCCAGGCTGTAAGGAGTTGTGGGAGTTGAAGTCCAAAACACCTGGAAGGCCCAAGTTTGCCCGTGTCTGCTACAGGCCATGGTGACTGGAGTAGAAATTGTACTCTAAAAAGGTATCTTGATTAAACTATTGGCCCATGTAGCCTAATGCTGCCTAGGCTCTCTCATATCTCAGGGAAAGTCCTTTCCCATCATCCAGTACTCAATTCTTTTAAAAGGAGACACCCTTATGGGTGCAAAGTGAGTCGCAGGTTCGAATCCGGGAGTGGCCTGAGTTCCCACTATTAGTCTCCAGCTTCTGCCAACTTAGCAGATCAAAAGCATGCAAATGTGAGTAGATCAGTAGGTACCTCTCTGATGGGAAGGTAATGGCTCTCCATGCAGCATGCCAACCACATGACCTTGGAGGTGTCTACGGACAATGCTGGTTCTTCGGCTTAGAAATGGAGATGAGCACCATCCCTCAGAGTCACACAACTAGACTTAATGTCAGGGGAAAACCTTCTACCTAAAATGTAAGGGTGGAGAAGTGCTGACCATGGATGTACACACTGCCACGCAACTAACCTTGGTCCCACCTCTTGTCGTTCCAGGTCATTTCCGTCTTCACGTTGGTGGAGGTGGTCTTGCGGTCCGACAGTGCCCCCTTGAAGTACAGCGCTGTGCTGAAGAGACCCGGAGGAGAGGAGTGAGGCAGCCGGCCTCCGGAGAAGGCATCCCAGCCGCCTCTGTCCAGAGGAGACTGCCAAAGCTGCCCTGCTCATACAAGCTGCAACTTCCAGTCACTCTAATTGTGTTAAATTCTGCCTTCGGGCCTTTTATTTTTTATTTTATTTGCGGACAGATTTTGCTTTGGATTTTTAACCCAAATGGATAGGCAGCTCTAACCTTCTCCAAGGGAAACTTCAGAAACATGGCTTTTTCCATTTCTGGATTTTTAAAAATTCCCTCTTTTCATAAATTGAGGACATCACTACCCTAATTATTACCCCATCTACACTACCATATAATCCAGTCTCTGATTTGAACTGGATTCTATGACAGTGTAGACGAGGCATGGGCAAACTTCGGCCCTCCGGGTGTTTTGGACTTCAACTCCCACAATTCCTAACAGCCGGTAGGCTGTTAGGAATTGTGGGAGTTGAAGTCCAAAACACCCGGAGGGCCGAAGTTTGCCCATGCGTGCATGGTGTAGACTGTTATAATCCAGTTCAAATCAGAGAATCTGGATTACATGGCAGTGTAGATCCAGCCTGTGAAGGACGTGAAACCGCTCAGTTTAAGACTAAGTTTAAGCCACTGCCTCTGCGTAAAGGAGTCTTCCCCAACCCGATGCCTTCCAAATGTGTCAGAATGCAATCATGAAAGGGAGTCGCGGGGTCCATCTACACTGTGGAATTAATGCAGTTTGATACCACTTACGCTTCCACAGTTATAGAATCCTGAGATGAGGAGCCAGCACTCTTTAGCAGAGAAATCTCAAGCCCTTATACCGCTACAACTAGGATTCCATAAAATTGAGCCTTGGCATTTAAAGTGGTATCAACGTGCATTAATTCTACACTGTAGATGCACCTTTAGCCCAACACACCTTGAGCCAACAAGAATTGTAATTCAACATGGGGAAAAGGAAGCATTCCTTGCTTTGCATTGCTGATCTAAAACCTTTTACCATTGTGTGGCCAGGCAGCTGTTTACAAAGTCTATTTCTGCTGGGCTCTAATCTCTGGATGAATTAAAAGGAAAGAAACATGGCCAATTGCAGCGTGTGGGTGTTTATTTGTGTCTACAGCTGTTCCTTTGCCTCTGTTGGTTTTACTGGAACTTTCAACTAAGTCTGTTGCAACAGGAAGTTCTGAAATTGTTGTGCAGCAACGGTCAGTGTTACTCTTCCTCTTTTGAAAAAGTCTTACCGCATCTTCTTGCTGGTCGCTTCTGTTACCGCTCAAGCGGGGAGCTTTGAGATGTTAGAACAGAAGCTTTCTGAAGCTCTAGGTGCTCTTACTGCCTATTAGAGGGGAAACCAGCTGATCCCCAACCCATCTAAAACACAGACATGTGCTTTTCATCTCAAGAACAGAGAAGCATCCCGAGCTCTGAGGATCACCTGGGAAGGAATCCCACTGGAGCATTGCAGCGCACCCAAATACCTGGGAGGAGTCACTCTGGACCGTGCTCTTACCTACAAGAAGCACTGCCTGAACATCAAGCAAAAAGTGGGCGCTAGAAACAATATCATACGAAAGCTGACTGGCACAGCCTGGGGATCACAACCAGATACAGTGAAGACATCTGCCCTTGCGCTATGCTACTCTGCTGCTGAGTATGCATGCCCAGTGTGGAACACATCTCACCACGCTAAAACAGTGGATGTGGCTCTTAATGAGACATGCCGCATTATCACATGCCCTGCACCACTGGAGAAATTATACTGCTTAGCCGGTATTGCACCACCTGACATCCGCCAGGAAGTAGCAGCCAATAGTGAAAGGACCAAGGCAGAGACATCTCCAGCTCATCCCCTGTTTGGGTATCAGCCAGTACATCAACGACTTAAATCTAGAAATAGTTTTCTAAGATCTACAGAGACACTCGCTGGAACACCTCAGCAAGTGAGAGTCCAAAAGTGGCAGGCTCAAACCCAGAACCTCAACCAATGGCTGATACCAAATGAGAGGCTCCCCACTGGGCACACAGAGGACTGGGCAACTTGGAAGACGCTGAACAGACTGCGCTCTGGCACCATGAGATGCAGAGCCAACCTTCAGAAATGGGCCACAAAGTGGAATCCACGACATGCGAGTGTGGAAAAGAGCAAACCACTGACCAGCTGCTGCAATGCAACCTGAGCCCTGCCACATGCACAAGAGAGGACCTTCTTGCGGCAACACCAGAGGCACTCCAAGTGGCCAGATACTGGTCAAAAGACATTTAATTAACTACCAAACTCACAAATTTTGTATTTTGTCTGTTTGTTTGCTTTTTTCTGTTAGAAATGTAATATAATTGACTGGCTGCCCTGATAAGACAAATAAATAAAAAACCGCATCTTCTTCGGAAGGATAACACCATCACCATTGGGGAGGAACGATAGCTAGCCAGACTCTTGATCATTGTCACCAATTGTTCAGGGCTGGTGAATGTGGAAGATAATGATGGTGATGATGATTGTATTTATTTATGTCACTCTTTTATCTCTTGAACAAGACCCAAAGCAGAAAATTGCACGAAGAGCACCTGTTCACATCCAGATGTGCTTTCCATGCAGCCTATAACGCACAGGCACCTCCTAAAACATGAACGCGTGCTCACCAAAAATATAAAGCTGTCCAAAGGAAGAGGGAGTATGGTTGTTGAAACAGCTGTATATTTAAACTTCTCTTTATTTTAATTGTTGAAATATATCCCACTGAATATACCAATTATCAGGGGAGGTTAGAGCAGAGAAGGGGAGAGACACTTAGCGTTTTAAAAGGTAGGAACTGAGAGACTTAAAATGCTTTTCAAATGAAATCCGCTGCCACCATTCCAGTATTAATCAGGCTGAGGTAATATTGTGAGTTTGTTCTGTAACACACACTGTGCTACTATAGCAGTGTTTTTCAACCTGGGGGTCGGGACCCCTAGGGGGGATTGCAAGGGGGTTTCAGAGGGATCGCCAAAGACCATCAGAAAAAAACTGATGGTCTTAGGATCCCCTTTGGCAGACAAGACTTAAGATCTCTCTGCCTGCCCTTCTCTTCCTTTTTGGTGTTGGTGAACTACAGCTCCCAGAATTCAAAAATAGACCCCCCACCAACCCCACCAGTATTCAGTGTTGGCCATGTAGGTAGTGTGCCAAGTTTGGTACAGATCCATTGTGGGCTGCGTTGCTCTTTGATTGTAGGTGCTCATTGATTGTATGTGAACTATAAAGCTCAGCAACTACAACTCCCAAAGGTCCAGGTCTATTTTTCCCAAACGTCAGTAGTGTTCACAACTGGGCATATTGAGAATTCATGACAAGTTTGGTCCAGATTCAACATTGTTTGAGTCCACAGTACTCTCTGGAGAACTATAACTCCAAAACTCAAGGTCAATGCCCACCAAATTCAAGGTCAATGCCCACAATGATAGATGTGTCCAAACTGCTGCTTGAATTTGATCACTCCTTGGCCTTGATAGCAAGCTTGGGATGTTGTCTCCTCTCGAATCCTATAGGAAGAATTTTCTGTTGCTGGGAGTTCTGTGTGCCAAGTTTGATTCAGTTCCATCATTGGTGGAGTTCAGAATGCTCTTTGGTTGTAGATGAACTATACATACCAGCAACTACAACTCTCAAATGACAAAATCAATTCCCCCAACTCCACCAGCATTCAAATTTGGGCATATCAGGTATTTGTGCCAAATTTAGTCCAGTGAATGAAAATACATCCTTAATATCAGATATTTGTATTACGATTCATAACAGTAGCAAAATTACTCTTATGAAGTAGCAATGAAAATAATGTTATGGTTTGGGGGTCACCACAACATGAGGAACTGTATTAAGGGGTCACGGCATTAAGAAGGTTGAGAACCACTGCACTATAGTTTCTTAGTGGTTTCTGTGAAGCTGACTTTTAGAAATTCTTTGACCACCAAAGTACTCACACTGAGGCTGGTATAAGTTAATACAAGAACAAGAATGTTTATTGAACAAGCTTGAAATAATTCAGATACAAATGCTTAATGGTTTCAGAAAATACTGGCATGAAAAAGCTTGTGGTTTCGTTAGAGTAAAATCTTAAACTCTTCTGGGTTACAAGTCTTCAAAGTTCCACCACAAAAAATTACCTCAGGAAATTAATCTCTGAAAGTAACTCCCCAAAACTGCCCCTCAGGAATCTATTCAAAAATATCCTGAACTAGACTTCCCTAAGAATTGAATAGTCCACTAACTGGGCCCTGCTCCACAACCGTATTCTAGCTATCTAATAATAACTACTCTGAAAACCTCACAAAAGACTTTTCTAAACCCAAACTCGCTCTGAACTAACACCAACTCTTCCACTTTTCCGGATACGTTTCAGGCCCCTTATACACCTTCAAATTATCTATGCAACAAAGATGGGAGTACAGAAGGCAGAAATTTCAACAGGCACCACCACACACACAAGATGGAGAACATAGGACAAAACAACAAGGTCTGGCCCAAACAAGGCCGTGAGGTAATTAGAGACTCACACACCTTCACGCACACAAGGCCAGACAGTGGGAAGGTACCACTGTATATTATAATATGCCTTTGCTGCCTCACAGGAAGGCAATTCCAAATCCCTTCTGAACAAATCTTGTAGTAATTAGCCAACTACGGGTTCTTCAACAACCAAGTTCGAGGTCTTCCTGTCCCTTCGACATCGCAGTAAAGGACCAGGCGAAAGGCAAGTGTGCAAACTGAGTGTACATTTCGTGCTGGGGAGGCAATAGATTGCAATGTACCTGCTTACCCTTTATACAGAATGTTCTTTCTGCTTTGGTAAGTAAGGATACAGCCAACACATCCTGCTCCTACCTGAAACAATTAGGAAAAGGTAATAACAACACTTTTTTGTGTTTCCGCTTGGCTGAAGCTGACAACAGTGACAGTGGAAGCAAAAGTGTGGCTTAATTTTGCAAAAGGATAAAACGTAACTGGGGCAATCGTGCTTGGGACTTGCTATGTATTCCTCTTTGTAAGCTGCGGAAGCAATTAGAAAACATTCCTTTTTGTTGGTTCTGTGAAGACAACTTGTACACATCCGTATGATGATGGCTGTGCTGACATGATCTAGCAAAAACCGACCACCAAAATTCCTATATAGTTGATCCTCCTCCAAAATCAAAAGTCAAACGTGGAGGGCCAACAGTAGATGTTGCACTTTTAAGAATCATAGAATAAATAGAATCCAAGAGTTGGAAGAGACCTCATGGGCCATCAGTCCAACCCCATTTTGCCAAGAAGCAGGAAAATTGCATTCAAATCACCCCTGACAGATGGCCATCCAGCCTCTGTTTAAAAGCTTCCAAAGAAGGAGCCTCCACCACGCTCCGGGGCAGAGAGTTCCACTGCTGAACGGCTCTCACAGTCAGGAAGTTCTTCCTCATGTTCAGATGGAATCTCCTCTCTTGTAGTTTAAAGCCAGTGCTCCGCGTTCTAGTCTCCAGGGCAGCAGAAAAGAAGCTTGCTCCCTCCCTGTGGCTTCCTCTCACATATTTATCAATGGCTATCCTATCTCCTCTCAGCCTTCTCTTCTTCAGGCTAAA